TACCCAGTGGGATGCTAATATAACCATTTTTAAGTACCAAGCCTGTGATGATTTTCTTCACCAACACACTTTACCAACCTTGGCAATCCAGGCTTACTGATTAAAGCACACGTCTGACCGTCTGGCTTTCAATGGCTGTCAAAAATTCCAGCTTCCACCTGCCCTCTTCAGGCACATATTCCAGGTCTGAGAGGGGGCCTTTTTTTTTTTTTTAAACAACTCAAACCAACCCAAATGCCCACCCCTAGTCTCCACTTTTCTCTTCTAACCCTCTCCCCCTCCATTATCCTTTGCTTAACTTTGCTTTCTCCATTTCCTTTGTCCCTGAGCAAAAACCATAAGATTGAACGATAACATGGAAAAGGAAATTTAGACTGTCCAATTTCATTCATATTATGTATTTAATAGGACCAAAGCAAGATTTAAAATCAAGGAATATTACAGCCAAAGAAAGGTTACTTGGGATCATCTAGGACCCTAGGCCCTTTCGTAGGTGGGGAAATCAAAGGCCCCACCCCCACCCCCCAGCCTTAGACGTGAAATATAATTTACTCAGGATCAGAAAGCTGGCAAAGCCAGAAGCTGAACCCAGGCATCCCAGCTCCTAATCTAGTTGTTATTACAAGGTGCTACATAGGTTTTTGGGGTGTGTGTGTATGTGTGTGTTTGTGTTATGTAAGACATTCAGGATCAAGTAACTTTAAAAGCAAATATAAGCTTATATTAAATCCAGGAGCTCCTCACATAGGAATCATAATTTAATGGGTTCAAGTCCAGGCTCTGGGCCAGACTCCAGTTTTACCACTTACTAGCTGTGTGACCTTGATCAGTTTAGGTAAGCTCTCTCTGTCCCTATTTTACCACCCAAAATGAAGATCCTAAGAACCTACTTACATAGACTGTTGAGAACAAAAAGACAATATATGTAAACCACTTAGAATAGGGCCTGGCCCATGGTACATATTCAACAGAGGTTAGCTGTCGTGTTTTAATATTAAAACCATGCCCACTTTTTAAAGTGACCAATAAAGGTTATTGGACATTGAAGATGATCTAGTCTGCCTGGGATGCATTTCCTTACTTCTTAGAATCTTAAACTCCTTCCTCTGGGTTTGGTGTCTCATCATCTAACCAGCCCTGAGATGGGTTTTTAAAGCTGTAGAAGTAATCACTGAGGCAGACAAAAATGAAAGTCACACAGCACTAATGCTCTTCAAAGGCCCTTGCTGACACAAGCAAATGAGGCAGTGCCCATGAAGGGCCAATGCTGACTAAGAAGAGGGTTCACCCGATTCACCCGCTCGACACTCCTGCCTTCGGTGAAACAGCAAGCAGGCCCCTGGTGGGTAAGGACAAGGGCTTCCAGGTGTAAGAATTTGATTCCCAATACAGGCAACCTCTGCCTTAGAGTGCGGAGATGCCTTTTTCTTTCTTAATTTCTTTAATTTTTCTTTTCTTTTCTTTTTTTTTCCCAAGTAACCCAGACAAACACATGCCAATCAGTTCAAACACAGCTCAACTCCTATGACAGGTTGTGTGCTGGTCCATTAAGGATACAAAGGAAATGGAGACCTGCTCCATGAAGTCTGGGATTCTATGTATACCTAATGCCTAGATACTAATTCTTTGTGGCCAAATAGCACAGAAAAAGGTGTTCTTTCATATTTAACACAAGCTGTGTATTCATTCCAGAGTACAAAACCGAAATATGGAACTGCATCTAATGCCAATAAACTCAAACTCCATTAAAGTTTAATTACTGACCCAAATATACATGTTATATTAGCCACTTACACTCTTTCATTTAAAAACAATGAACAAAATAGAGTTCTAACATATTTCCACATTCTGTTTAACAATGGGTATATAATGACTAGACTGGTTTTGCTCCTATAGTGACTAGTTTTAAAAGTTTTTCCTAAATAAATTTTATTAATAGCCAGTGCAAAATGTTTGCCAAAAAGACAAAGACCTTTCACAGCTGTTTCCTTTGGGAAACAATATGAAATGCTAATATTTTGGAAACCAGAGAACTGCTACCTTGAATTCTGGACACTTGCACAAAAGAGATGCACTTAAAAATTTCAATTCCCTTCTACCACTTCCAGCAAGAGGCACTCAAAAAAAAAAAAAAAACCCCATCTAAAGGCTCTAAGAGACTGAACTAAGGATTCTCTTTCTGTAGAGGGTAGATATAAAACTGCAAACTCCATTAGAAGTACAGCCTACACCAACCTTAAACCCAAATATATTTGCTACTGACCAGAACTTGAAGCACTTCCTACAGATTCATCGTTTTCTTGGTGATACATACATCATTAAAAATAGATAACTTGTATAATTCCAAAAGGCATTAATTGCAGCATAGCTTGTCACAGCAAATGCCTGGAGATAATACAAATAATCCATCAATAGAATGATGATTACACTGTGCTATATCCAGACAGTGAAATTCCATTTGGCCACTAGAAAGAATGAGTTAGATCTATAGGTACTGACATGGAAAGATAATTATAATACACTGCGGAGTAAACCAGAACAGTTGTCTCTTAGGGACTATCTTCCGCAAAGGATCCCACAGATATATTTTTTTCCATATATCATTTCACAGATTGTTCAACAACTAGTTTTTTTCCTTCCAGATGTATTTGTTTATATATGCAAAAAAATCTATAAATGACACTAAACCCAATCCTTGGGAGGGTGGGAGTGGATTTTACTTTATACTGTTATTTAAGTTTTTCAAATTAAAGAGCATGTTCTATATTTTTCCACTTTTAAGTAAAAATTAATATAATAAAAATCACTTCTGACACTTACTGACAAAAAGTGCATTCAAGTTTCTCTTATCTGTATAAAATATACCTTCTTTCCATCAACCATATACTTTTTTAGGTCCTATGAGAGTTCTCACACTCCCACACCAAGTGAAAGTATTAGTACATATGGATTCTACACAGAAAGCATTCTGGCATCGCTAAAAATGACCTGAAATCAAACAGTTTAAGAATATGTAAAAACAGGGGACTGTCCACTGTGACATTATTTGTCTTTGGTCAAATACATCACCTCTGAACTCCTACTCTATACCCCTCTCCACAACAGACAGGCTCTTCCAGTTTCTTTTCCCATAAATAATTACTGTTTTTCTTCCCTTCAAACCATGAGAATTTCCAGGCCCTCCAGTTCCCCACCAAGAACCACTCTGGGGAGTAGCCTCTTCAAAAACCCAGAGCTCTACAGCAGAAAATTACAGACAACCAGGGAATACTTTTTTAGTCCATCCTTTAGGACCCATCCAATAATTAAACATTAAAATATAAAAACATATTCTGAATCATGGCACCTCAAAAATGCAATGCCAGATATGTAAGTACTTTAAAATAGTAGAGCATCTTTTTAAAAAAGACATATTCTGCTGAATATTACTGTACAGAAAGATATCAATATGGCTGATAAGCCCAGTTCCAGATACTGCTGAAGTAGAAGAAAATATAAAACAGACCCAATAATATTAACAGGTATAAACACTTGCATGTAAAGTTCTTTATGATCGTATTTTCTAAAATTTCTATAACAGACACACATAAGCTATGTGATAATTTTTAAAAGGGCTTTCAAAAAAAAAGATACATAATAAGACTCACATCAAATGGATAAGACAGATGAAGAAACCATGGTTCTAATGTCTCTTGTCACATTCTCCTAGGGAACCTTTTGAAACACAGTGGGTATCTTGGAAGTGAGAAATATTACCCCCCTGGGAAAAATCCCCTGACTCCCTGAGCCAGTTGCTCACTTTTCTACATTTCCCCAGCACTTTGTCCCACCGCTATTACCTTACCAAACATACTACTTCTACACTGACATTCTTTTTCCATCTCATTTTCCCCACTCAATTGCAAGTTCCTCCAGGACAAGGAGAGTAATTATTGATTTTTGTGGTCCCATGATAGTGCCTGAAAAAAAAAGGAGTTTGAGTTTCTTGAATGAGAAGTGTCCTCACTGCAAATTCATTCAAATATTTCATTATGCACTGGTGGTAAGTGGGTATCTAGTGAAATTCACTGGAGGTACCCATCATGTGCTTCAGAGAAACTAAACTCTCATGTGTGACTGGGCAAAAACTCCCAACCCCCAACCTTCCAACATCACCATGACAATGAAGAGAACAGGCAGGTAGCCATCAGTGTAACAAGGAGACCCAGAACCATGAGGCAGAGTAAGAGATGGGTGACAATCGCTGCATTGGAATGAGGAAAGCACCCCCGTTTGAACACGGGACCTCTATGTCACTGGTAATGTTGTATTTCTAATATGTTGGTGGGTACAGGGGTATTCACTTTCTTCTTATACCTTCCAAAAGTTATGATTATCCTTTGTATGAGTCATCATTCACTAAACGATTAAACGTTTTCAAAAGATTTAACTTCAAACATCTACTATGTTCTAGGCTCTATGTTTTGGGGGTTCAGACATGAATAAGTCACAGTCTCTAGCTCAAGGGAATTGCAGTCCAATGTGAGAGACACATAAACACATAGAACACAATAGGATACATATATAAAAGGGCTCTTCGTTTTACGGGGCCCCAGGAAGATTGTCTATCCAATCACCCCCACTGCTTCCACTCCACAAGGGAAGGAGGAAACCACAGCACAGCCCGCGTGAGGACAGAAAAACAAATAGCAACCAAAGGCACAGCTCAAGGCTGCACGACCAGCACATCATTCAAGTGATCGAAAAGCACATCGAGCCACCTCAGGTAGAAAGAGTGGTTCCTGTTCTTTTTTCATTCTTCTTCGCATGTGCATTATCTAGAGAACTAGCAACTTCTAATATGTGGAAACCCCCTGAGTTTAAAAAAAAAAAAAAAAAAAAGGAAAGTAGGAGCCAGCTAAGGTCCGAGCACGTGAGCCTGTCTTGTCGCTAAGCCACCCAAGGGAGGAGCGTGCACGCCCAATTCAGTTACGGCTGGAGCCAGCCCTCCATCTGCTCACCGCGTGTGTTGGTGGCCATGTCAGCCACTTTCTGAAAGGCGTCCAAGAAGGCAGCTGCTGCTACTACTGTTGTCCTAAAATGCAAACAGATAAGAAAAGCATGAGGAACGTCTCACACTGGCAAACCCGTTACAGCTCAAGGGCTAAAACCTCTGTGTGGAGTGAACATAACCTTCTGAGAGTAACGACTCAGCTGTATACGACCACCACTGGCCGGGTGGACCTGCTGCTTCCCAGCCCTCTACCCTAGTCATGTCCCGCTCCCTCGGTGCTAGTCAACACGTGCTGGTCGTTCTTCCCATTCCATTTCACCTGACTGTAAAATATCATTACCAGGCAAACTTTTGCAAAGGACGAAAAGACAGGTGTTTCTACCGAAAAGAAAAAACATCGTTAAATAATATCAATGGTACTTTAAAGTAGAAAAGCAATATACATACACATGAATTGGAGGAAGGAATCTTGGAGAGAGACCATGTAGTTCAAACAATTCATTTTAGGGATGGGAAAACTAAGGTCACGAATACCAAGTGACTTTCAAGGTCACTAGTTCACATCAGAGCCAATCAGACTAGTATCCCAGCATCATGACTCACAGGCCCATGCTCCACTCACTACAAGACCCTGGCAGTGTGACTTTTCTCCCTAAATCCTAATTATATGAAACTGAGTTACTATTTTTTTTTTCTGGCAGCTGGCCAGTACGAGATCCGAACCCTTGACCTTGGTTGTTATAACACCGAGCTCTAACAAGCTGAGCTAACTGGCCAGCCCAAGACACTATTTTTTCCAACCTTACGATGCTATTTCAACTGTATCTTCCGAATTCCTGAAAGCTGAGAATAGGGATTAGTTACTAAACTCATTTTATGTTCTAAAAGTTATTTTGGATTCTGAACATCCTCTTGAGCAATATAAAATGCCTGAGCACTCACTCTGTGGTTCCTGGAGTCGTGACTTAAGACGTCATTCAATGAAGAGTAGTCCACGCCCCACGTCAGGGCCATGGATCCCAAAATAAAGCTCCAGAACTAGCATACAGGACTTTAAAACTGCACCTATAGCTTTTCAAGTATTTCTCATATGAATCCAGTCTCTACTGAGCATTCCTAAGAATGCAAAGTTGCTGAAGGAAGAATAACAGTAAGGACTAGAAAAGAAGTTCACGATGGAAAAAAAAAAGGAAAGAAACAGCCTTTGAACATAACCAACAGTGGCTGAGGAACAAAAAGTTCCTAAAAGGTGCTGGGTGTGGGCCCTGGAAAACCTGGCCAGCAGCCACTTAGAGCCAAACTTCACAATGAGGCCTGATACTTTCCAGTAGAACAAGAAATGTTCTGCCCAAATTTTGAAAAAATAATGACATACACACAGAAAAAAAAATACATCAAAAAAACACTTCGAATCATATTTTTTTTTTAAGAGTGACATCAAGTGCAAACCCTGGAGAAGTCAGCTTTATCAAACATCCTGGGATTTATAAATATCTCTTGATTTACAATTAATATCTGACACAATGGCTGGATTTATTCTCCTTCAACTCAATGCCGATCACCCAAATTTAATGAGCAGGCTATAGAGGTACCTTGTCTATGACTCAGTCACCAGGGCGCCACTGAAAATTAGGACAGTGGTCAATTTTGAGGAATTAAGAGCTTTTAAGTGACAGTCATATTTCATTGTCTACATAGTCACAAGACATCCTGGCCCTCTGTGATGGGGCAGAGCAAATACGCAACCACCGGCAGCACCAAGGAGCGATCCAGCAAGACCTCTTCTGCAGCCTTGACTTTGTCCTTTCTCTGACACAGAAAATTAAGTGACGTGCATGAGACCCCCACAGTGCTCTCAGCCACCTACTAGCAGTTTGACAAAATAATAAAGATATGCTCCCTGCCCTCAGGAGGCCCAAATGTTGTTTAAAAATATAAAAATGTATCTTGTACCAGTAGGGATAGGATAAGACTGCTTTATGTTTTACCTTAAATATTTAAGACAGTGATCAGCTCACTATTTTAAGCTTTCACCTCCCATTTTTTTGGTAAACCCTGAAAGTCTGCCAGATGATTAAATGAGGCCAAATAAGAAAAAGTCGGGGGACATGTATTTAAACATCTTACTGTTTTATAGCAGGAGGAGACCGCCCACAGGATGGAGACTAAGCTATTTGAAATAACATAGAAATGGAGGGGGAAGAGACCTAGCTAAATGAGGTGAGGCTGGTGAAGGCCTCAGTTGAGGAGCCTGGAATTCTAAGCAGAGGAGGTTGGATCTGACCCAGTAGAAAGTAATTCAGGTTCTTAAACAAGGAAATAATAAAGGGCTTCACAACTGCAGAAGGACCCTTAGTCCAGAGTCTACCGTCCATCTGGAAGCCCATTTATGGCTCTGGAATTCCCTGGACCCATGAAACTGAGGGAATGGAAGTTTTGAAAAGATCCAGCCCTCCTGAATTCTTCTCTCCAAATTATAGGGGAGCCATGGAACCCCCCCGGTCCTATGGCTAAAGGTCTGGGCAGTAACCGCTGGTGTTCACTGAAAAGATCCAGCCCTCCTGAATTCTTCTCTCCAAATTATAGGGGAGCCATGGAACCCCCCGGTCCTATGGCTAAAGGTCTGGGCAGTAACCGCTGGTGTTCATGGGCAGAGACCCAAGAACATCACACCATCCCTCCCTTACCTCTCTGTCTTCCATATGGCTCTTTACTCTAGAAAACACTCACCTCTCTGCTTTGTGAACCATTCTTATCCATCCAAACCAATCAATGGCATCCCCCAAATACCGTGAATGGGGGTCGTCAAAATAATTACTTTTTTAAATGTCCCCTCTAAGTGCAACAGTGTCCCTTCTCCACACTGATTTAAAAGGGTACAGCTTCAGCAAGAAGATGCTGACATATTTTCTATTTCATATCAAATGATTATGAATAAGCACAAGAGAAGGCAATAGCAATGGCTTCTTAGAGCAGATCAGCCCTGGATCTTGTTTGGTTTTTAAAGCACTTTTATTGAGGTATATAACTTGCATACCATAAAATTTACCCCTTATAAGTGTATGATTCAATGATTTTTAGTAAATTTAGAGTTGTGCAACCATTTACAACATTTCCACCACCCCAAAAAGATCCCCCGTGTCCATTTGTAGTCAGTCTCCTTTCCCACTCCTGGCCCCAGGCAACCACCGATCTACATCTGTCTCTACAGACGGGCATTATCTAGACATTCCATGTAAATGGAATTATACACTAGTCAACACTAGGTTTTAAACTCTTTATGTGGACAGACAGTAAGCAGCGTGGAGGAGAACAAAGCCTCTGCAGCCTAAATTTAAATCCCTCCTCTGGCATTTGCTAGCTGTGTGACTGTGGATAAGTTATTTAGCTTATCTGTGCCTCAGTTTCCTCATCAGTAAAATGGGGATAAGAACTGTTCTTACCTGGCAGGGTTGTGAGATTTAAATAAGTTAACACGTGCCTGGCAACACGGTGAGCACTACGTAAATGTTGCCCCCCCGTTACCTCCCATACAGTACCTCATTTGACACTTAAAACTCCTGTGGAAGGAGGCAGAGCAGATATGAGTCCAACTTTACATATGGATCTCAGGGGTCGGGATATACAGCTAATAAGTGGTAATGCTCCAATCAGAACCCACGACGTGCTTCTCTGTCCATGACGCTTCCAATATTAACTCCAATCTGCACTTTAGTCCAACCCCCTCCATCCTTGTCCAAGCATGTTGCCCTTTTCCTGTAGAACACATACTTCTACTTACCGAAGCTGGGACTGCAGCTTTCCTGCTTTGTTTATGAAATCTTCCCAAACTGGATAGCTCCCCTACAACAAAACAAAGCCATCAATAAGTCACACTGATAGATATCCAATTATGACATTAGCAGAGCACCCAATTCCAGTAATGCAGGGAGCAATCTCTGTATGCTCTTTCTTTGCAGTGTCTATGATAGGTTGCCCAGATTACATGTACATGTATTGGCTCAAGAATGGGTTTAGAATGTGCTCAGGCCCTGTAAGCTTGTAAATACTACAGACACTGACAAGAACTAGCTTGGCGAATCTAACACATATGGGTTTACAGGTACTTTTGAGTTAATAGATTCTGGCTCCAAATTTAAGACACACACAACATTTAAGGCTCTCTGCCGAAACACGTGCTCATACAACCTGGTCCTGGCTATTCTCACAGCAGGGAGGAGGGACCAGAGTGATTGGGGTTCCTCTCCAGGACAGGTGGCTACCAGGAAAAATTATTAGACTATAAGAATCTCAAGGTTGAAAAGTTACCTAAATATAGCCATTCAGCTGAAAGCTTAAACCCAGCATCTACCTACAATATGGCAACAGATGATTCCCAGCATACTTCAGCGAACAGGGAGCTCATCACCCTCCCAGGGCAGGCTACATCAGCCACCCTGTCCTGATGTTCATGCAGTTCTGGTTCTAACCTTCTAGGAGCCCTTGGACTAACGACCAACAGTCCTGCTTCCACCTGAAGTCTTTTCAAAATCCAATCCCATTTCTACACAGGACCCTGTTTCATACCCCCACAGCCTCCAGAGATACTCCATCCTGCTCTCAACTCTTCCTCAAAGTATGATGCTCAAATGTGCTGGCACCAATCTGACCAGGGCAAATCAGAGTCAAATTTCCCATACACATTAGATTTATATTGAGATTGAACAGCTTACCAACCAGGAGGTGACTCAACATAAACCCAGAAAAACAGAAACCATGGTTAGAGAAGAGGTATCTGGCAACGAGTCATTTAAATATAGAACTAAGACTAAACACTTGGACCAGGGCAAATCAGAGTCAAATTTCCCATACACATTAGATTTATATTGAGATTGAACAGCCTACCAACCAGGAGGTGACTCAACATAAACCCAGAAAAACCATGGTTAGAGAAGAGGTATCTGGCAACGAGTCATTTAAATATAGAACTAAGACTAAACACTTGGGGGGGGCTATGGTTACAGAATAGAATGTAAATGTTTTGAACCCCGACAAGGGAAAAATAACATATGCTACCTGTTGATTTTGTTGTTAAGGGGAGGAGGGAGAAACCATACTGAGGTTAATCATCTCTTCTTTCATTACAAAAGCTCCATCAAAATTGTCTAAAACTGCAACCAAGCTAAAACAATGATTCCGCCTTCCTAATGGCTTCAGTCATCTTTTTTTCTTACCCTTACAGGACAGTTTCACAATATCAGCACTACTGACATTTGGGCCCAGATAATTCTTTGTCATGGGGGGATGTCCTGTGCATTGTAGGATGTTTAGTGACATCCCTGTCCTCTATTCACTAGGTGCCAGTAACCCCCTCCCCCTAGTTGTGACAACCAAACATGTCTCCAGACATTGCCAGATGTCTCTCAGGAGGCAAAATCACCCCCAGTTAAGAAGCACTGACTTACAGGGACATTTGAGAAACTAATTTCTTCTGGTGAAGAAACAGGTCTCTGAAGCTCTAATTTATTCAATATTACTTACTTTAGTTCCATTTTCCTCTGTTAAATGAACATAAAACTAAATTTTTTTTCATTTTTAAAATTTCAAGCATAGCAGGCATTACAACAAGGAGCACCTTGTCATAAAATTGCCTATTTATGTATTTCTCTAGCTATCAATTCTATCTGAAAATGTGCTTAGAGATATCCAGAAAACAGTCTACCAAATATTAAAATGGGAGCTAAGAGGTGGATCAATGTGTTGCTTTCTTCTTTGTACTTTCCTCTATGGCTAGAGTTTTGTGGGTTTGGGGGGGGGTTGTTTGTTTGTTTATTTTTAATAAGGGTCATGTATCATTTTAATGCAAAAAAGTAATTACCTAAAAAAATAATGTAAGATCAAATTAGAGGTTCTGGCAAAAACAACATGAATTTACAATCCGCCCAAACCCTAAAGTCTGTTTCACACATGCTGCTAGATCACATGTGCATTTGAGACCTACTTGGCCCAAATGCAGGTCTCTGGATTTATTCCTCTGTGTGGCAATTTGCTCCCATGGGATGCTGAGGTGCACCAGGGTGGGGATCCTGTCTGACCAGCTCCTAGCAGAGGCCCTTTGGCAGCTACACCTGAGCTATTATCAACCAACACCTGGCACAGACGTTGCCACCACACAGCCTCCATCTCTTGTTCATGCCCTGGGGGTCTCTTCAACCCAGCAGCAGAACTGAATATTAACTTAATGCTAAATAAAACTTTGCAAGACATCAGGCTACCTTTTCAAGCCCATCGAGATGTCGTGGGGATCCCAATTATGACAACCAAAATACTTACCATTTTCTTACCAAGTCCAGAGATGAACTCCCCTTCTACACCTACATCCAAGTAATTAAATAGATAAGGGCCGAGATCAGAGTCCTCTGGCTGGCCACTAGATATCTCTGTCCAGAGGGACTGCAGTTGACATGCTTAATAGCACAAAGGTTCAACCAACCAATTACAGCCCTGTCTAGCCATTCCTTCTCTTTCTGATCCACAGACATGATGAGAAGTTTTTTGAAGAGCCTGGGGATGTTCAGAAACACCACCCGCCCACTCCTTCCAAAGGCACCATCATCTTGCGGTGGTGGCACCATACACACGGCAGGACATGAGAGCTAGGTACTTTTCTCTCAAGCACCAATCACCCCTATCCAGGAAGTGTGGAGAAGGTGACTGATCCTCTCAGATGGGCACATTCATTGAGAATATGCCAGGTTGGCCAGAGGCCTGCGCAGGGATCACCAAGTCCCAAGTCCTAGTCACAACCTTGCCATGTACTGGGGGAAATCACTTGACCTCTCAGGGCCGTTTCCTCATAGTGATGATAATAAAAACTCCATCACCAACAACACCAATTATTAAACACTGAAGGAACGTAGGAAAGGAAGAAGGGACACAAATTTGGGAGTCTAATCTCCTGGATTGAATCTTAGCTCTTCCATTCGCTATGTGACATTGGGCAAGTCATCCGACCTCTGCATGGGGTAGGTCACTATTTCATAGTGCTGGTGTGAGGACTAAATGAGGTCGCACATTAAAAGTACTCAGTGCAGTGCCTGGCACACAGTAAGTGCTCAATAAACACTTGATTTGATGGGTCCAAGTGTTCATAACTGGGGTAGGTCACTATTTCATAGTGCTGGTGTGAGGACTAAATGAGGTCGCACATTAAAAGTGCTCAGTGCAGTGCCTGGCACACAGTAAGTGCTCAATAAACACTTGATTTGATGGGTCCAAGTGTTCATAAGCTCCAAGAAATCTCATTCAGGATGTTTATGGCAGGGACCATCTGTCCAGGCTGGAATCCCTCATTCTCAGTCCTATGTGCATGACCAACCAAACTGGGAAGTGTTCTGCATCTCACTACTAGTTAACCACAGTTACAGCAGAAACAGACCACGGCAGCAGGGTGTGTGGTGATTGACACTCTTAAGCAAATGGCAGGTGAAATTCTCAACCCCAAGATGAACGTGCTTTGAAAGACGACTGCTCAAAACACTTAAAAAACTACTTATCTGCCCCCAGAGCCTCATTTCAGTCTTTACCAAATTAGCAACAAAAGGAGGGTCCCCTCTCTAGTCAAGGGGTACAGCACACAGCTCCCCGCCTACGAACACCCACTCAGCCAGAAGAAGGCTTCCAGAAACAGCTCTCTCCTGACTTAATGACATTTGACAGTCTATCAAAGAGTGTCAGGCCCACCTGTTTTAGGCAGTATATAATTTAATGGATTCTTAAAAGAAAAAGTCAACTTCTAAGAACAGAAGACAAAAATCTCCTTGTTGAGAAATGAAAAAAAAAATGTGTAAATGTTAAAGGCAAGGTGATATTGGGTTGTTCCAGATTTTTTTGCAAGTTTCTTTCAAGGAAAAAAGAAGTTTCTACCCACCTGAAAGTAGTTTTACTACAAAAATCAAAAGCTTGGAAGAAGTAAGAAAGGAGGGAGAAGGTAATTGCAGAAAGATTAAAAGGCAGCACAGAAAAAGCCCTGGGTTTTAACTAGAAGACTTAGTAAAGGAGACAATATGCAACTTTCAAAAGAAACCTGCAAACCAAGATCACGGACGCACTTAGAACCCTTTTAGAAAGCAATTCCAGGGCCGGCCCGGTGGCGCACTGGATAAGTGCGCAGCTTGGGAAGCGCTGCGGTGCTCCCATCCGAGGGTTCGGATCCCACATACAGACCAGTTCCCGCTCACTGGCTGAGCGAGGCGCGGGAGCAACACCGAGGGTTGCGATCCCGTTGCCAGTCCCCGGTCCGGTACGGGGGCAACACTGAGGGTTGAGATCCGTTGCCAGACACAGAAAAAGATAAAAGACCAAAAAAAAAAAAAAAAAGAAAGCAATTCCAATATCATCCTAAATTTTCCAGTCTTCACCTGCTTACCGAGAAATTCCCAGAAAGCTGTCTCCTGAGGTTGCTGACACCATTTCTGATTGTGCTCTATTCTCGTTCGAGGAAATCGCTAGGGAAAAGTTTCAACACAGACCCCACAGTGGAGTTCACCACAGAGCACATAAAAGGTTTCACAACTTTCTAGACAGACCAAAATCAAAGTAAATAAAATTCCCACCATGTACCCAGGTTCTGCCAAGTCCAAAGTCACAAGGCAAAAGGGAAAGGACTCTCCTTCCCCCCCTCGAATTTCTTTGGAGAGGAGGGTAGGGAGTTTTGGGGACCCTCAGCTGTGTGTTGAAAATAGAACTCAGATCACACCAGGTTCTGAGAAAAAGGAAAAGGTCCCTCTTAAAGGAATGGGAAGAGAAAGCCAGTTTGCTTGCAGGTGTATAAAGAGGACTCCCTTAATCAAGCCGTATGACAG